GGCTCGGTCGTTAAGCGTCTGCCTTCAGCTCAGGTCATGATCCCAGGGTCCTGGGATCGAGCCCCTCATGGGGCTCTCCCTCTCCCACTGCCCCTTCTTGTGTTCCCTCTCTCACTGTCTCTCTCTTGTCAAATAAATAAATAAAATCTTTAAAAAAAAAAAAATCCAAATGGGCCCCATCTTGAACAGGGAATGATTGGTAAACCAGTCTTTGGGCTCAGAGAGTCTTTAAGCCCCAGGATTGGCTGGGGCTACGAGTGACCAAGCTTCGGGCGGGTGAAGTGTTAAGAGTGTGGACTGTGGAGCCTGGCATCAGCGCTGACTGACCCTGATGCCGGGGGGGGGGGGGGGGGCTGCGGGCGGGGTTTGTAAAGTCCTGGTGATGCCTCAACAGGGGCAGAAGAGATGGGCCTTTCTCATCCTGTGCTGTAGATTGACTAACAATAGAACACTGTCATGTGTTAAGCGCTTGTATGTGTTAGCTTTTGAAAGGCAAAGACTCAAAAGTTTTGAGTCAGACAAGTTGTCAAAACTCATTTTTCTGTGTTTTTACTTCTAGAGCTTTATACTTTTCCTTCCTTTAAAAACAAACGAAGCAAAACCAAAGTACCTACCTTTCTAGTGGAGTGGCTGAGTAGAAGAGATGCCTGAAAAGATCAGGTTGATCTATGACAGGGCCACTGGCCATCCCAGGGTACGGGGTGAATTTCCATATCAGCTTTGACCTCCTTCCACCCTCACAGATTTGCAGTGATGACGTGTTTACAGTGATACTCATGCCATTTAATATTTTAAGTCTGTTTTACCTTTAAAAATAACAGCCCATTCCTTGGATGAAGGAATTAGACTGATCTGATTTGTGATTTCTATTTAGCTGAGGGTAATTACGCTAAAGGGAGGGGAAAAAATTGTTTCTAAAGCACCATCTGGTGGATATCAGATGTTATTGCAATTTTTTTCTTTTCTCTTGGCCTCTCTTCTTTCCCTTCCTTCCTCTCCTCCACAAAATTCCTACCATCACAGAACTTTTTTTTTTTTCCACATACTTACGCATATGTATATGTTAGGCCGCATGATGAAGAAAAATAAAGCAAAACCAGATGGATTGCGATGAAGAAGGGATAGGGTGGTCTAAGAGGACGTTTGAGCCGAGGCAAGTCATTAGCATTTAGGGAAGGGTGTCTCTAGCAAAGAACAGAGAAGCAAAAGCCCCTGGCCCTTTGCACAATGACTGGCTAGAGTAGGAGTCAAGCTGTGGGAGGGGTCACCGAGGTCGTGCAGGCCGTGGAAGAACTTGAGCTTTTGCATTGAGTGAGATGGGAGGTCTCTCAGCACTGTGAGACTAGACTAGGAGATGCCGAGAGCATTGGTGCAGAGACCGTGCAGGAGGCTCTAGCAGTAGATGAGGTAAGGGACCAGTTCGGAATATATTTTGAAAGCGGGGCTTACAGTGTTGAATGATGGGTTGGGATGTCGGGGTAAGAAAAAAAAAAAAAGAAAAGCCAAGGTTTTGTTGGAGCCCTGGGTAAATGCAGGTGCCATTCCATTTACTGCTATGGAATACTAACAAAGGGAACGAGGGTGGTTCCAGAAGGTGTCACCACATCCAGCCTAATATGTCACTGTTTGCAAAGTTAGAGTGAAATATTTGGTGGATTGCATCTAAGCTGTTAAGCTAGTTTGGATACTTTTTAAAAGTAACTATGGTAATGATAAAATAATACCCATTATTTGCGAATAATCTCTAAGTGAACTCTAGTTCTCTTGACCAGGATGGTGGTTTGATGTAGCCTATAAATGATGATATTAACTTGTCGTTAGCTGGATATCTGATTTATGGTCCGAGCTGGTAGGTCTTGATAGAACATGAAGGAATAACTAGGCTATGAACGTGGACATGGGATGCCTCCGTGATCATGGAGGAGTTGTTTTCATTCAAAGATGGACAGTCACGTCAAGGCTGGTTTTAAAAATACCAGTGCCCAGGCTCTAAACCAGACCTGTCAAACAAGAATCTTTAGGACATGCTCACCATCTCCATGTGTACGTACTGATAAAGCTCTCAGGAGTTTCCAGGGCACCGTGGGGCTTGAGAAGCCCCGACATATGCTCTGAGGCTAAGTGAGCCTGGTGGGTGCTGGCATGGGTCTGGCCTTCTCTGAGCCCTGTGTTATTCAGCAAACCACTGTTCAGCGGCTGCTGTGTGTCCGGGCACTCCCGAGGGTACAGAGGTGAATTACAGTTGCCCTCGAGGGAGAAATGGCAAACACATACTGAAATTGTGGCAGTGTGATGTGATGTGAGAAGTCGCTGAACAACAAGTCCTAGAGAAAAAGGAGCAGAGTCACTGGGCAAACAGGAAGCTTCTCCTGAGATGATATTTGAGCTGGTTTCAGGCTAAGAGCTCACCCAAGGGGGCTCTGGGAGGAGCTCCATCCTCAGACAAAGCCATCTTACTCGCCGGGGGTGCGAAAGCTGCACAGATACCGTCAGTATATAAGCCTGAAGCAGATGATGGGAATGTGAGGGTCCTGGGCAGTAACAAAGGGTGGCTCGTTCTTGTTCCAGGCGACCAAGCCTGAAGGAGCACCATCAGGACAGTTTGGGGAATGATGCATGAAATACACAGTTGCTGTTAGTATCCATATTGCAAAAAGGTTGGCCCAAGAAAAAGGCAGCGTAAACTCTGAAAATTTGAAATTGTTCTACTTTTGTTCTTCTGTAGGTTGGTACAGGTCTTGGGCCTACACTGGAGTTTTATGCACTTGTATCTCAGGAACTACAGAGAGCTGACTTGGGTCTCTGGAGAGGTGAAGAAGTGACTCTTAGCAATCCAAAAGGTAAGATTGATTTGTGAGGCAGTCAGTTTGTGTTTTTCAGATCAGGTAAAAGGGCCTTTATAATTCATTAAATAGATTGAATTTCTAGGAGAGGGCCATGGTGTCTGACCTTAATTCAACTTTTAGCCTTTGTTTTCTCTTTTATCAAATTAGGGAGAGCCTTCCAGCTCTAAAGGACTTCATTCCGTGATCTGATTTTTGAGAATACTGAATTTCTTAGATGTTCTTAGTTACCAGGTTTTGTCTGTTTTGTTTTGGGAAATAGCATCTAAAGTTTTGTGACTTGCTCATTTTATAGGAAGCCAAGAAGGGACCAAGTATATTCAAAACCTCCAGGGCCTGTTTGCGCTTCCCTTTGGTAGGACGGCTAAGCCAGCTCACATCGCAAAGGTTAAGATGAAGTTTCGCTTCTTAGGAAAATTAATGGCCAAGGCTATCATGGATTTCAGATTGGTAAGTTTAGGATTATTTGCTTGTCTACGATGTTTTTGTATCTGTGTACTCTGAAAGTATCTTAATCCCCTGCACTCCATGCTGTATTTTAAAACAGTGTTTCACAGACTTTAATGTGCATATGAATTACGTGAAGAGTCTATTTAAAACGCTAATTTGGGTTCAGTGGCTCAGGGGTGAGGCCCACGATTGCACATTTTCTTTTCTTTTTTCTTTTTGTTTGCTGCTTTTCTCATTAAAGATACCACATTTTCATACGAGCTCCCAGGTGATGCCAAAGTGCTGTTATGAACCATTTCTTCAGTAGCAAGGGTCCAGAGAATCAGGCAACGTGAGTGAAGGGTGGTTTTAAAGTATTTGTTATTAGATTTTTAATTGATTTAGGAAAGCCTGAGCTTTCTGCAGCTGAACTGCAGTAAGTCATCATTGGAGTGCCAGAGGGAGAATAACCTGTAAACTAAATATTAACAGAGGTCTGAGTGTTGCCAGGCTTTTCTTCATTTCCTCTTCTCACATTTTCTGAGATACTTGGTCAGTATGTAGAAGACCTTTTTTTTCATCTAGTGTCAAGTTTCCAAGCTCACAGTTTTGCTGTGCCCACAGAATGGGTTGTTAATCAGTTATTTTAGAAGTTACATTTTTTCAGTTTTAATTAGTTGGTTCTTTTTAACCTCTTTTCCCCCCCCAAATGTGCAGTAATACAAACTACAGTGGAATTTAGTTACTCGGCCCCAAATAGAGTAAGATTCCTATAAACATGTCTTAGTTTGGAGGCCCTTATGGAGAATATATGTCCATCATTGAATAGATAAGCTTTTCAGGGTGAGTGTTTTTAAATAGGATTCTTTGGTGTACTAAGTTTTTCACAATATCGGGACCCCAAATTGGGTTTAAATGGGAACAATTGTGTATAATGAGAGAGACAGTTCTAAAATGTTTTTTTGGAGGGGTGGTTATTATTACTCAGCCTTTGTAAATAATCTCGTAAAGTGTCAGTTATAGAACTGAGGCAATTCTAGAAGCTTAGTGTGACTGTTAGAATATTTTGTATATTTCATTTCAGGTGGACCTTCCCCTTGGCTTACCCTTTTATAAGTGGATGCTTAGGCAGGAAACTTCACTGACATCGCATGATTTGTTTGACATTGACCCGGTTGTAGCCAGATCAGTGTATCACCTAGAAGACATTGTCAGACAGAAGAAAAGACTTGAACAAGATAAATCCCAGGTAAGCTTAGAAGATGAGGAATTGGGTCACCTGGGTGGCTCAGTCAGTTGAAGGATCTGCCTTTGGCTCAGGTCATGATCCCAGGGTCCTGGGATCGAGTCCCACATCGGGCTCCTTGCTCAACGGGGAACTTGCTTCTCCCTCTCTCTGCCTGTCGCCCCCCTCCCCCCGCTTGTGCATGCGTGCTCTCTCTGGCAAATAAAATCTTTAAAAAAAAAAAAAAAAGATGAAATGGTCAAGTGGATCAGTTTCTTACTGTTGCAAGATGAGGTTTTTGTTAAGTGGTTATATTTGACCCAGTTATTATGTTATATTACTTTACTTATATATACTTCTTATATTATTTTAGAAGAGTTTAATTTTTTTATTAGAATACTTGAAATGATTTCACAGTGGGAAAGATGACCTATAAAAACAGCAGGTGATAGGGCGCCTGGGTGGCTCAGTTGGTTAAGCGACTGCTTTCGGCTCAGGTCATGATCC